AATTTTTAGGACAAATACGAGTACTACAATCATTTTGACCATCAGCGTTATAATATCCCTCCTTGCATGATGTGCACGTGGTTCCTGACGTGCATGTTTTACATCCGGGTAAACATTTTGATGTGCAGTCTCTAGCATAACCTGGGTAATAGCCATCATAGCACTCAGTACACGTATCTTCATAATCAGGGCATTTTGTACAGTTGTGTGTACATCGTATGTAGCAGCGAGCAGCTCGGTGACCATCTATGCAGCCTAGAGTACATTGGTTGGGAAACCATTGCCCTGGTCCACATTTTCTATCTAAACAGCATGCACAATCTACTTCACATTGTTCGTCAACCTCTGTTATAAATAAAATCATATTTCCTTAATACTTCCAAAAATATTATGATATAGAAATATTAAATGAAAAGCTATGAAATTATCATTTTAATTTCAATTGCTGAACGGTTTATGCTCTATTACTAAGATGACTTCATGATGTGTCTAGTATTGTTCATTACATGCATAAATAATACCCTAAAAATGTCGGTAATTTTTTATATATATCTTTATATACATGTATATTAAATGTATACTAAAACATAAAGTTTAAATTTTTCAAGGAAAACATTTACCTCCTGTCGTGTGGTGAGCAAGTTGAAACATACATATTGTACATATAATCTGTAAAACAATAGGTATTTAATTATTTTTTGTTGTGTTGTGTTATGTTATGTCTTATATAATATGGGAAGTACTTATATAACACTTATTACGGCGCTCTCTATATACGTATATTTACAGAACAAGTACACATGTACAATACTTCCAAGGGAAAAGTATTATATATTTCCAAGGTACAAGTATAATATCAATACAGGACAAGTATAAAATATTTCGACAGAACAAGTATAATATTTCAAGAGGAAAATAATAATATTGCTACATAACGAGTAAAATATTTCATCAAAAATTACAGTTTCTTTGCAGAATTATATTTCTACACAACGATTATCATATTTATAGAAATAATATAGTTTTTGTAGTGTTCTACAAGACAATTCTTTATGTCAAAATTCCAGCTCTTAGAATTGTAATTACAGCAAAGAAAACTTTATTTTGATCTGATTTGCATCTTTTCACAAATCATTTTAAAATAAATGACACAACGGGCGTGGCCATTTTTACCCCATGGGCATGAAACAGCAAAAAAATTTAAAAAACTCATTTTATGTTTCTATGTAAGACTGTTATCATAATTTCTGTTGAGGGCTATCTGTGAAGATTGTTATAAATATACCAAGTGTTTTAAAAGAGGTCCAATAATCATTTGAGTAAAAGAAGGATCTCCCGGTCAGAAATTAATTCATCTGATATTAAAACTAATTGGCATGTTAATTGTTAAGCTAAATATAAAGGATACGATTTAACTATAATATATATTTATAGCAGGAAAAAACCCGTCTATCGTTTGGCGCCAATTTTGACCATTGAAAAGTTTTCTTTCAAAATATCTCAGCTCCGTCCATTGCGCTTTTAATACAAATACTTTAATGATTTCACTATGTACATATACCCTACGTAATGTGTGTATTGTAATATCAGAACAATAAAGTAATAATTCATAACAAATCTAAGGCTAATTTAAGAAAATGTAAACAAATAAAATCATTTGAATGCTTTTATTGAATAACTATTACATAGCAGTTATTACTTACCAAATTTATGTTCCTCATTATTTCCTTTATATTTATTCATTCATTAAAAAACAGGCAATACTTTAGTTTTTATTTGTTATTGTAGCAAGGTTATACAGCTTTAAAACGGAAGTAAATAAATCATAACGCACTAACGCGTAGTTATATGTCAGATAGTATTTAAAAAAAAAATCGTAATATCAATGATGTCTTAATTTATTTTATATTTAAACGAAATAGTCGTGGTGTTGCAGTATATTATACGTTTTATTTAAAAGATTTTATAGAGCTTCTTAATATTGATTGAAAGGTTCTTGTATGCTTTAAAAGATAAAACGTTTAGATGCTTATTTTCATATATGCTGTCAGGTGACCTGAATTCACGCACTGGTGATTTGTTAGATTATATACATATACCCAACATTACTGATATGTATTTGATCAACTTAGATTACTCGTGTCCATGATCTTTTCGTTACCAATTAAGAATTATAATTATTGTGTCTTTATAAAGTAAAAATGATGCGTGTATTATATACGGCTGTTTAGAAGAGGGTAAATGCACCTTCAAGCTGGGAGGCGCGGACAGTGGCTCGAACTTGTCACATCCGTTTATGGGCGGGCTCGGTCAGGCAGGACCTGCAACAATTTCAAGGTTGCCGTGTTCGGCTTTCCTAATGGATTCTGTTCACTATTTTATATGAGGCGGCATAGCTGAGTGGCTAACACATCGGACTCGCTAGCCGCGTGTGTTCAAACCTCGAGCCGTTTTTCCTTGAGCAAGAAACTTAAACCAATTCCTCAGTACGGTTTGGTTCAAGGAACTTGTTCAGGTGAATGTGATATAAATAAATGTACATGCATGTCTATCTGAATGAAATTTTAAGTCTGAATTGCATGCTAAAAGCGTAAGTTCTATGAAAATAGGACTACTGAAAATAAGTTGTTTTTTTGGAAGACAATCATTTGTGAAAACAAAGCGTTAAGCAAATTTTTGTTTTAAAGGAAGTTGTATAACAACAAAACCGCTCCCCGAAAGATTAGGAAATAATGATTAATAATTCTAGAGGATGTTAAGTAAGCATTTTGAAAATGTTTCAAATGAGACTCATGGTCATTTTAATATAAATAATTTTACGACTTCTAGTGATAGTGATGTGTGTATGTTGATGATCTTAATAAATGTTTTTCTGTGGATGAAGATAGTAAAACTATATCTATGTTAAACCGTTATAAAAGCTGTAAATATGAAAAAATGTAGCAAATTTTATAATTGACTGAAGAGTTTTAATTTCTTCATATCTACAATGTAAATGAACTGTATACACCAAAATTCCTTGTCAAAAAGAGTTATTATACCTATCTATAAAAAGGCGATCAAGTTGTCCTCTCGAATTACAGCGGTATAAAATTAGAAAATTTAATTGGTAAAACTTTCTCCTTATAGTTAAGGAACCGTATGAATAGTTGTTGTGAAACTAACAATGTTTAAAGCGATCCTCAATATGGATTCAAGGAAGGTCGTTTTACAAAAGTTACTGATGCATTCTTTATTACATTTAATTATCCAGAGATCTTATACAATAAGCCTAAACTTTTGTGTGTATTTGATGACTATCAGAGAGCTATTGACTCGGTTAACAAAGATGCATTTTGACACGATTAAGTTATGGGTAAAACTGGCATTAGTTGTAAAATGACAAACATGATACGATGTATTTATTATAAAGTTCAATCATGTGTTAAGATATCTAGTACTATGCAGTTGTCTGAATTTAACGATGTATCGGTTGGATTGAAGAACCATTATCTCCCTTACTATTCATTGGACTGACTGTATACTGGTTGCAAAAACTAATCACTGGAGGTTCTATCAGGTTAAGTCTTGAAATATATTTAATAGAATTAGGTCCTTTAATTGTTAAGTTAAACTAAAACAATGCTTTTTGATACATTGCCTGTTCAATTTGACTCCAACATTATGACTATCACTGCAGATATTTTTTCCTTATTTTAAAAATTGGTTTTAAGTCATGGTTACAATCTTATTTTCATATAGCGTCTTTTGTTTGAAAAAGTGTTTTAGACATTTAACCAAAATAAACGAACGAAACAGCAATTAAAAATAAAGATTCTTCGGTTTATCTTTTTGTTTTTTGTTATTTTATGTTTTTGTATTTATGTCCTTTATAAATTTTATATAAAGCAAGACGGGATTTCCACAACTTCAAGCATCTAACGCACATGCATATCCAATACAAAAACAATAGTCTCTTAGTCACTCTTATTTAAAGTGTCCGTTATATTAAACAATGTAAGCACGCGATGCAATATTTTCCTAAGTCTATCTACTTTAAAGTATTAATTTCAATTTCTATATACAAGCCGCAACATGTTAAAAAGATAACAAAGAAATACTTAGAAAACACTTTGACACTGGAAATTAAATAACAATCAAAATAATAAATGTGATTATTGTTTAAGTAAGCCCTTAAAGTGTTTCCTGTTGCAAGGAAAATAAAGTGTCGTTTGTATAGATAAATATAGTGTAGTCAAAACATGATATTCCTACATATTCTCTTTCTTATGGTTCTTAAAATACGACTGAGCAAGTTTTTTAAGGGGTTCAAAGTTATCCGAACAAGTTTTTCAGTGCATTTTACGCTATAATAATGAATAAAAAATCTACCCATATCTTTAAACTGCGAAATACCATCATCATTGAGGTGACCATTTTTATAATTTTAGTGCTGTAATTAAATATGCTTAAATGAACAAGACACACAATACATTAACATAAATTGATACATAGACCACAAAAAGTTTGGCAAAGCGTTGTTAACAACACTATGGGTGATATGAGATTTATCTCATTAAATACTATCAAATCGTCCATCGCCATTATTGTTAATTATTCACTGTATAGTCAAATTTATGGTAGAAATTATGTTGAGCAGAAGAATAGTTGAAAAGTGTACATCACACATGAACTATGCTCAAATGGTGTAAATATGTGTGGGTTTTAAACAGAATAAATAAACAAAATGAACGGGTAACAACACAAACCAAGCTGATTTTAGCTAGAATACCATACTGTGTTTTATATCTTTATACAAATAAAGATCTATTTGAATGTATAAAGTCTTTTTTGTCTGTGCATGCAACGGACGTTGCCAAATATCTATCGATGTTTGACATGTTTTGTTCACTGACCATCTTATCAGTATACAATTACATGTAAATAAATACAGGTATCACATTGATTTAAATATTTAGAACATAAGTGATCCCTCGGAACCATGAAAAACAGCAAATTAACAAGTAGAAATCTTTATTTACATCTAATCATTGTACATACATTATACATACAACGTTTAAAGTTTACAGTATCAAAGAACACAGCCAACAGCCATCACAATATCGAGTTATAAGAGGTTAAAAATATATTACAATGTTAAAATATATATTCATAACACAAGAAGTATATGATAAAACTTGAAAACTAAGCTTAAATGACATCGATTTCTAGATATGACAAAATTCACATTATTTCATCTGATCTGCTTTAAAGGTGATGCACCTATTTGTTGGTATTTCTTATTCATCAATACCTTCACTGACCACGATCAATCAAACTTAGCTTGAAAAGATTCTTATCTTAATTTTAACTTGTAACACTTCTTTTACTATATCTATCTCATTTTTTACATTGCATTATGTGCGCTTGGTGTTAAAAACGTTTACTTGCTAAAAATGCTAATAAATTATTTCATTTGTTTTATTTTTGTTGAACTTTGACTTAACAGATTACACAATATTTTTCTTATTACATAAAAATGGCAGGCATCGTTTTACAAAATGTATGTCAAACATCATAAAGGAATACAAGTGCATATGGTTGTAAGCATAATTATGATAACTGACAAAAAATCGCTTTTATCATATGTCAACATTATAGAAAATGTGTGGAGAATGCACTTTATAAGCCATCAAATTTAAAGATATATTGCGCTCAAATTTGATATTAGATTATACAGTTAACTCCGCTTATAACGAACTCATTGGGACATTCAACATCTGTTCCTTATATCCGGAGTTCCTTGTAAGCATATAGCGAATAAGTTCCTTGTATCAGGAGTTTTTATAGCGAACATATTTACATATAACGAACTGATTGTTTACCATCGTTTGCCATTTTGAAGAGCATTTGATTAAGAAAAAAAAAGTCATTTATTTCTCTTTTAGACACAATACCCGAAAGGGTACAGTTTGGAATTTGAAAATCCTTTGCTATTTCAGTTTTAGTTCATTGAACGCCGCCGCCTCTTTTTGTTGATCTTGTTTATCATATTTTTTACTCACTTTCTTAATTTCTCATAAAATATCATATTTTGTTTCTAAACTTAGTGCTTGTCGTTTTCTTCCTATGATTAAGAATAAACAAGTTTTTTCATTCCTTTTATATTGAATATCTCCTAATATATTTTAGAATGACTTTACTTACTAGTATCAAAGATTTAAATTTCTTTTCATTTCCATCAAGTGTACTTTGAAGTTTCGATGGATTAGCAAGAATATAGCCGATATTTTAGAGTTCGTTATAAAAGTATAATTTTCTTTACTTTTAACTAAATCGGGACTTAGAAATGAGTTCTTTATAAGCGATAATTCCTAATAACCGTGTTCGCTATAACCATATATTTTTATATTAAATAAAGAAGGGTAAAATTCTGGCCAAAATAAATTGTTCCTTAAAACCGGAAGTTCGTTATAACCGTGTTCGCTATAAGTGAAGTTTACTGTATTGATAAATGCTACACAAACTATTGTAAATATAAAATAAGCATTTTTCACACAAAGTAGATATGTCATGTTTAAAACTCTACACACTTTAAGGTGGTCACAATATGAACATAAAGTGTCGTTAAAATACTGGCAGTTTTTTCCCTTTTGTACGAAAAGACTAACTTTGGATGCGTGACTTTCAATACATATATTATTCACATTTTTATTCAAATTTTATGGTCATTTCCAGTAATAATTTAATGGATTTAAATAAATTTCTTTGTTTCAAATATTTTACTCAAGTGTGAGCATAGAATATCTTCAACAAATGAATGAGATTTTATTATTATATAAGATTAATTAATTGATATAACTTCATAAGTGCCGATGTCAAAATATCAACAGTCATATACAAATATTTACAAATGTGTTAGAGCGGCCTTCAGCTTTTCTCAATTTAGATATGTTATTTTAGTTAAATCGTTTGATATAACAGTCAACTCAAAAGAATTAAGGTGAAAAATGAAACTTGTCGTCGATAAAATAAAAAAACAAGAAGGAAACCTATCGAAACCTCTAATCCACTGGTTATATTACTGAAATAATTAGTTTAAAACATAAAAGCCGAAGGCCTCTTTTCAAAACACATTACAATATCAGACAGTTATTTAGCACTATACAAAAAAGAAATGAATGAAACTGAATACACTTGTTTCTCTATCACGTGTATAGACGTGCAAGTAATAGGTATTGCTGTTGTTGTTATACTAACTTCTACAGTTACACCAATCACAAATATGTCCATATTTTTGCTCGGATACTGTTAAAACAAACCAAAATCGTAAAACAATGAAAATAGGTCGAACATCATTTTAAAGAAATAAATTTAAATGTAGAGTAAAAAGATCTATGTAAACAGTCTACATTTAATCAAAATATATACTGACATTAAATTATTTTGTTATTTTAATAACGATGTTACGAACAATTAATTCACAGATACCTTGAACTTTTCCAAGATCCTGATAATATTCATCTGATCCTAACACAATATCACTGTTTGATTCTGAAAAATAAACCTTTCATTAGCCTGTTATTCAACGTAATTTAACATAAATTTATATCTTTAATATAGCATTTTAATGCAATAAGAGCCAAAGCCAAATTATATACCAAAACAATAACTCCGTGATGAAATTCAAGGTATGATATTTGACTATACTAGTTTTTGTTTGTCGAAAGAAATTGTTATTGATTATATTTAATTAAATAATTTAAATGAAATTGAATGAAGATCTGAAGAAGTCAATTCTAGAAAAATGTACCTTGACCAATTTCATGATTTCTGACATTGCCAGCGTTTGTCGAACTTTCACATTCCAGTTCGATGCCTGAAAACATTTGAATAATTCAGTTAATATTTTATCTACTCGTACAATACGATACTTCCACAGAAACGGAAATAGCATTCGCGCATGCAAATGCTGCGTAGGGAAAAAAGAAAGAACGATAGAATACATAATTTAAGAGACATAGGTAACATTATGTTATCTGCAGTGTATTAAACAACCTCGTTAACAATTTGATGAAATCTAAATGATAAATAATAAGTTTAAAATCGTTTATTTTTATATATAACCTTTTCAAACTAAAACTCGGTGGTAGAACATATTATGATCTTGATTCGATCGGGTTTCATTTAAAGAACTGATCCGTGTAAAAAAAAATGAAGAATAAGAAGTTCAATAATGACAAACGAAAGATCAGTTAGAAATAATACTGTATTTACCAGAGTAAACATTAAGAGGTCCCCTTGTAGTGCTATTACCATTGGCCCTTTAACGCAAATGAAATAACATGTTGTAGTCAATTCATGAACTATTTTATTTGCTTTTGATAAAAAAATAAATTTATTAAATAAATTCGTACATTTTAGCACAAAAAGGGAAGAAAAAAGTAATTTAATTTAAAATTTATTAATCTGAAATTTGAATAACAACATTATGTTAACATATTACTTATATTATGTTAACATATTACTTATATTATGTTAACAGTTTGACTTGTTTATCGCAAATGTATTTCTTACGAATACACCAATTGATTTTTGTAATGTACATTCATGTGTCAAGGATCAGTGGGCTTTATGACGAAATGAATTAGTTTAGTTGAGAGTTGATAAAAAACAAAAGCTGTTATGTTATATTATATTTAATAAAATTTAAAAAATGAGTTGCATTTTTGTAACGAAATACATGGATATGTCCATAAGCAGGCAGAAATGCAAATATCTTTATATGAATGTTTTGCAATGCGTGTACACAATTTGCTTATAAACATTTTACATAGTGTTAATTGGTTGTTAGGTCAAAGCACAATCGTTAGCAAATTAAATTTCTATTGTTTGCATTTAAAATAGAGGAAAGACATTTTTGATTCTTTAACATTTTTTTATAGACGACTTTGGTATAACATTTGTTTCAACTTATTCATGTTCTTTGAGTTTAACCCTTGACTTTAATAAAGTTGAATATATAAATAATGTTTACCTTTTCCGACATTTACAGAGAATCAACGTAACCACAAGTATAATGATAACAACCAACGTAAGGTATAAAAATAAGGGAAACGTTTTGCAATGCATGTAGCCAATTCAGCTTAAAATAAATTTTACACTGTGTTTATTTGTTGACGAGTCAATGCATATTTAATTTCTTTTGTTTGTATTAAAAAAAGGCGATAACTTTTTTTTTTTTTTTTGAAAATATTTCATATTGTACTGATTAACGTCTTTGGTATAACAGCTTTTTCAACGTGCATGTTTTTTTTAGTTTTATCTTTGACTTTAATAAAGTTGAATATATAAACAATTTTTACCTTTTCCGACATTTCCAGAGAATCACAAGTATGATGATAATAACTACTGACACAGCAAATCCTGTCCCAAGTATTACAGCAGCTGTATTTACTGACTGCTCTGTGGCATTATTTTGTAAATAAACATCTATAAATCAGTCCTAAACGTTATTAAATATTTGCCTAAAAGCATCGATAAATATTACAACAAGAGCCATGTCAACATGGCCATCCCCCGCCGAATGTGTTTGCTCATTGGAAGAATGTATATGTAGTAGAGCAGAATAATTCCATTTTAAGAGGTCTTTTGGTAATGAAAACTGATGGCTATAGTAATTACAGATTTGAAACCTATGTGAATACTGATGGCTGAAAATAACAAAGGGCAATAACTGAAAAATAATGCAGGGTAGGTTATCATTCTTGTGTGCTGCATCCCTCCTCAGTAAAATCTATCCACCTATGAAGTTTCAAGTTGATACCTCAATACTTTTTGAGAAAAAAATTGAATTGAAAAATTAAGTATGAAAAATAACAAAGGGCAATAACTCAAAAATTATAAAAGGTAGACTTATCATTCTTGTGCACTGCACACCTCCTGAGTTAGATCTATGCACCTATGAAGTTTCATAATGATATCTCAAAGGCCTTTTGAGTTATGCTCTGGACAAAAATTAATTTTGAAAAATAAAAAAAAGGCAATAACTAAACAATTATGCAGGGTAGAGTTATCATTCTTGTGCACTGCATTCTTCCTCAATGAGATCCATCCACCTATGAAGTTTCAAGTTGATACCTCAAATACTTTTTGAGATAAGCTCCGGACAAAATAGTATGAAAAAGAACAAAGGGCAATAACTCAAAAATTGTACAGGGAAGAGTTATCATTCTTGTGCACAGCATTCCTCCTCAATAAAATCTATCCACCTATGACATTTCATGTTGACATCTCAAACACTTGTGAGTTATGCTCCACTCGGGTGAAAAATTAGGTATGAAAGTAACAATTGGTAATAACTCTAAAATTATGAAAGGTAGAGTTATCATTCTTGTGCACTGCACACCTCCTGAGTGAGATCTATGCACCTATGAAGTTTCATTTTGATATCTCAAAGGCTTTTTGGGTTATGCTCTGAACAAAAATTAATTTTGAAAAATAACAAAGTGCAATAACTCAAAAATTATGCAGGGTAGAGTTATCATTCTTGTGCACTGCACTCCACCTTAATGAGATCCATCCACCTATGAAGTTTCAAGTTGATACCTCAAATACTTTTTGAGATAAGCTCTGGACAAAATAGCATGAAAAAGAACAAAGGGCATCATTCTTGTTCACAACATTCCTCCATAAAAAGATCTATCCACTTATGACATTTCATGCTGATATGTCAAACACTTTTTGAGTTTTGCTCCACTCAGGTGAAAGATTAAGTATAAAAAATAACAAAGGGCAATAACTCAAAAATTATGAAAGGTAGAGTTATCATTCTTATGCACTGCACACCTCCTGAGTGAGATCTATGCGCCTATGAAGTTTCATGTTGATATCTCATAGGCTTTTGGAGTTATGCTCTGGGCAAAAATCAATTTTGAAAAATAACAAAGGGCAATAACTCAAAAATTATGCAGGTTAGAATTATCATTCTTGTGCACTGCATTCCTCCTTATTGAGGTCCATCCACCTATGAAGTTTCAATTTGATAACTCAAATCCTTTTAGAGATATGCTCCGGACAAAAATGTAGGACGGAAGGACGGACGGAAGGACGGAAGGTCGGACGGACGGACGGACGGAGACTATTTCTATATCCGCCGCTGCCTTGTCGGCGGGGGATAATAATTAGACGCGTAGAAATAAAAACGTGCTACATTGGCACATTAAAAGACAAATTTAAAAGTTTATACCTGGTGTATTTCTATACATTTATCAAGACATGTTATATGCTTCCACATATTGCATACTTATATGCTATAAATAAACACATTTTCATTTTTGTTTTCATTTTTGCAGGAAATATACTTATTCCTATTATAAACAAGAGGGCCCTAGATCGCTCACCTGACCCATCAAACTCATCCGAACAATTACCTAGACAAGTATTCTGACCAAGTTTCATGACAGGTGAGTCAAAAATGTGACCACTTCAGTGTTAACAAGGATTATCCATATTTGAGCAGTGTGACCTAGTTTTTTACCCAGGTGACACATATTCAAACTTGACCTAGAAATCATCAAAACAAACTTTCAGACCAATTTCCAGGATACTTGGATCAAAGCAGTAGCAACTAGAGTGTTAACAAGATTTTTCTATTTTTAGCTCCGGTGACCTAGTTTCACATGCGATTTCGAACTCATCCGAGCAATTACCTAGACAAGCATCCTGACCAAGTTTGATGATAATTGAGTCGAAAATGTGACCACTAGAGTGTTAACAAGGTTTTTCCATATTTGGGTCGTGTGACCTAGTTTTTCATCCGAGATGACCAATGTTCGCACCTGACTTAGAAATCATCAAAACAAACTTTAAGACCAATTTACAGGATATTTGGATCAAAACAGTAGTCACTAGATTGTTAACAAGATTTTTCTATTTTTAGCTCCTGTGACCTAGTTTTTCATCCGAGATGACCGATGTTCGAACATATCCGAGCAAGTACCTAGACAAGTATCATGATCAAGTTTGATGACCCTTGTGTCAAAAATGTGACCGCTAGAGTGTTAACAAGATTTTTCTATTTTTAGCTCCTGTGACCTAGTTCTTTATCCGAGATGACCCATGTTCGAACGCATCCAAGCTATCACCTAGACGAGCATCCTGACCAAGTTTGATGATGATTGAGGCAAAAATGCGACCGCTTGAGTGTTAACAACTAAATGTGGACGGACGACGGACAATCATCGATCCTAAAAGCTCACCCTGAGCATGCTCAGGTGAGCTAAAAATCATTAGCAACAACAGCAGCATTACAATTTTACAGAGGCGACGTAATATGACATTAACGTAATACATAGCTCTAAAATTCTGAAAAAGGGGTGATCCGGAAGCACGGAAAACAATAAGATTACACTTGCCAGGCATGTATTGATTGCACTGCCGTCCTTCAAAGTTATCAAGACATCCATATGAACATTCACCATTACTTTTTTCGCATTGCTTGTTTTTACAGCCAACAGAACAATATATGTCACAGTTCTGTCCATACCAGCCTGTTGAACAAACGTCACATTTAACCCCAGAGATCGTATCTACAGTACATCCGTATGTACAATTTCCGGATTCTCTTTCACAAACGCCACCTTTACACCCTGCAGAACACTGTTGATTGCATATGTTTCCATATCTTCCGGTTTTGCATTTATCACATCTTACCCCAGCAAAATTTGGAAAACAGTCACAGTTTCTAGTTTTCATGTCGCAAGTGTTTGACATACAACCAATCGAGCAACTTACCCCACATTTTGGTCCATAATGACCAGTTTTACAAACCGAGCAACTGTCATAGGATGAACATCGTATACAGTTATCTCGACATTTGTGTGTACAGTCATTCAAAAAAGTCTTGTAAGTGTTGTCGTCCTGGTAACCTATATAATAACCATCCTTACAATATCCACAATCAGTATTCGACAAACACATGATACAGTTACTTGGACATAAACTATTGCATAAATTACTGGTATTGTAATATCCGCCCTTACATGACACACACTGATTACTTTCACAATTACAATTTTCAGAACAGTAACGATTACGACAGTCATTTTGACCATCTGCGTTATAGAATCCCTCCTTACATGATGTACACGTGGTTCCTGTTTTGCATGTTTTACATCCGGGTAAACAATTTGATGTGCAGTCTCTAGCAGAGCCGGGGTAATAGCCATCATAACACGCAGTACACGTATCGCTATAATGAGGGCATTTTATACAGTTGTTTGAACATTTTCGGTAACATCGAAGTCCGTCATAGCCATCTATACAGCCTAGAGTACATTCGTCCTGGTAAAATTTCCCTCGTCTACATTGTCTTTCTTTACAGCATGCACAACCTACTTTACATTTTTCATCGATCTCTGTAATAAATCAAAGCACGCTTAAAAATTAGCACACAGAAATGTGAAATGAAAAGTTATGAAATTATCATTTTTATTTGAATTGCTGAACAATAAATGGGAGACACAGGCAAAATTTTCATTTCTTAGTTTTGATTTCTTCATTCATTTTAATAATTCTGTAAATGCCCTCAAAATGAATATATTAGACAGTCAAAGGAATAAACCTTTTGTCCATATAAAGAATAAAATAGTGTTTTCCTAACTTGACCCGCGTGGGTCAGGTTATAGCGCTAGGATTTCACAAAAGTTGTCACAATGTACTGTGTAAACGTTAAAGAACATGTCAAATGAATGACTTAGACTTGTTTCAATCAAACAATATCCACAATATCTGTTATTGTCACTTCAAGGGTTTGTTCAAGTCACCTGACTTGTTTTAAAAACTATTCGGTGATTCTATTGGTGTCTAAATTTTGTTCAACATATATAGATATATGTACGCTTAAAACCCAAACTATATAGAATTTAAACAAAAAATCATGTTGAAACTTTAAGAAATGCCATTTACGAGTGATTTGATTACATAAGATCATTTTTATATTTTTGTCATTATTTTGCCTGTATATCCCTTTAATAAGATGGCCCGGCGTGATAATGTGTCTAGAGTACATTTCATGCATAAATATTAACTTTAAAATGTCGTTAATTTTTTTTATATATATATATATATATATATATATATATATATATATATATATATATATATATATATATATATATATATATATATATATATATATATATATTATATATATATATATATAAAACAATGTATACACAAACCATATGAATTCTTTAAGAAAAACACTTACCTCCTGACGTGTTGTAAACAAGTTGAAACATACAAATTGTATACATAATCTGTAAATAAAATCGGTGTTTCATTATATTTTACTTTTATAACAGGAGCGTTGTGTTATGTTATGTCTTATATAATATGAGAAGTACATATGGCACTTATTACGACGCTCTCTGTATACGTATATTTACAGAATAAGTACACGTGTTCCACTGGACAAGTAAAATATTTCCAAGGGACAAGTATAATATAAATACAGGGCAAGTATAAAATATTTCTACAGAACAAGTATATAATTTCTAGAGGACAATGATAATATTTCTACATAACGAGTAAAACATTTCGTCAGAAATTACAGTTTCTTTGCAGAATTATATTTCTTTACAACAATTATCATATTTATAGAAATTATACAGCTATTGTAGTGTTCTACGAGGCAATTCTATATGTCAAAATTCTAGCTCTCAGAATTGTAGTTACAGAAAAGAAAGCTATATTTTGATCTGTTTTTCATCTTTTTACAAATTACATTTTGTATTATGAAATAAATGACCCAAGAGGCGTGGTCATTTCAACCCCAGGGCCATGAAGCAACAAAAATAAATAAATAAATAAAAACTAAAAAAAAACTCATGTTTCTATATAAGACTGGAATCATAATTTCTGTAGTTGGCTATCTGTGGAGATTGTTAAAAATTCTTCCAAGTGTTTAAAAAGAGGTCTAATAATCTGTTGAGTAAAAAAAGATCTCCCGGTTGGAAATTTATTCATCTCATATTAAAACCGATTGGCATGTGTGTGTGTGTGTGTGTGCGTGTGCGTGTGCGTGTGCGTGTGTTTGCGTTTGTTTACCCTCGTCACCGGAAAGAGACCATATGGGCGAGCGTATACTTCATTTATAACCTAAACATAGGGGAGCTGATGTTTATTTACTGATGTTATATCGGTACATGTGTTATGTGCATACCATGTCCCCCATGACAGGGTAGTCTCTACGTACAACCTATGCCATGGGAGGAAGATGGTGCAATCCCATTCTAAGTTTAAACATTCTAAAATTAATTATTAAAATGCACTTATTTTGAAAATGGCTAAGACGTTTATAAAGAGTACCGTCTTTTATAACAGGTCAATTAAGAAAATAGTTTCAATATTTACTTATAAAAAATACAGAATTCGCATACTTACATGCGATAAAGGCATGTCAGGAACGTTTCTTCACCAATTCAATGTGGACTCACTGTGTATTTTATTTATTTCTGTATTAAATGTTATAAACCGCATACATATGGATGCATATGATTAATTACATGTTTGTAATTAGCAGAATTTATTATAAATTTTGTAACCCGCTTTATAAGAATGATTTTGATTCGTTTAGAGATGATTTCCTCCTTTGTCCTCATTAGTCTAAAATTCGTTGTTAACAAAATAAGGAGGTCAATCCGATTTTGTTTAAGTTTTGAGTTGACAAGTTTATTGCGCGGACCGGATAGAACTTTAGCAGGTGCCCGTTGTATTCCAATGTATACGTGTTTTTACCAACTTTGATTCTTACATTTCTTACGGTAGCACCGTTTCCGGCATATTGTAAACAAAATTGCCGAAGGTAAATGTAGCCAAAAAACGTCAAAAAGGCACTTATTGAACACGATTTAAACGATAGACTTTATACAATAACTGGCGGCGGGCACATTAACAACTACAATATTACCATACACAACACCACTACACTTAAAGAATCAACCCACTGCGACGGCCATACCCCACTTACTATCTTCTAGACATCACCTTTCTACCTTTCCTCCCACTTAATTTATATAAAATCATTTGAATGCTTTATTTTTTTAGTAACTATTTTATTCATTTTATATTTTAAAATGACGAATAGAGTGTGTGTTTGGTTTGTTTACATGTTATGTGCATCATTCATAAATTCTGTGTTATACATGTATATATATATATATATTGATAGAAGAGCTGTTGTCTCAAACCATTATTAAACGAACCTTTTATAAAACAGCATACTAGGATATTTCTAGTATATTACTAGTTTTATATGAATAGGCGGCTGGTCCGCAGTGAATATTCTTAAATATTCTTAATAACAATGAAGTACAAGGTGGCCAGATATGAGCCATCCCGTCATCATAGGGACCTCTCGGGTGTTCTTGGCAATGCCTTGGACAAACGGGACGACCATTATGTACGCAAGGCAGTAGCCAGGAACGTTGGGGTCCTAAAAGTGCTAAATGGTAGAATCACAAATATTAAAATTAGGACCCTTTCTAACGAGATACATTTAAAAATCAAAAATGTATTGAAGGCAACACCCTTCGCGTCGGGAAATATACTCTTAGACTTCGCGTCTACAGAATCACTAAATAAAGCATTCCAGCTACCCAAGTTTAAGCTTGGGGAGATGGAGTGCATTGTAAAATGCCTACATCAGGTACGCCTGTATGAGGTAGTCATTCACGGCATTCCGCTGGAGGAATATCTGGCAGAACTCCAACAAAAGTTGGAATATGACAGATTTGATGGGGCCTCACTTGTGAGGGTCGGCCGACTCCAGAATAAGCGCAAGCAAGATTCTGGAGCGGAAAATTGACCTTTGCGGGGGGGGGGGTGCCCCATCATTGTGAGCATAGCGGGCGAAGGAACTGAAATCATATATAGGACCGAGACTTGTTCATGTTCACCCGCCTAAACGATGTTTCCTTTGCCAGGGATACGGGCACATTTCAAAATCCTGTAAAAAAATTACCTGTGGCCGTTGCGCAGGGGTCACAACACAAGAACGTGTACCTCGACCGTAATTAAATGCTCCAAGTGTGGGACCAACACGTTGTAGTCTATACAGGCTGTAACGAATATGTTAAGGCAACTGCCATTATGGCCTTAGTTAGGACAAGGCGGATGAACTGGGGAAAGGCTACTGTCCTATTCTATAAGGAACTGGAACAGCTTAAGGCTGAGGACAGGTGCCTTTTCCCGGTCCCCCCGCGGGAACCAACTTCCCCATGTTCCCCTTGCAGGGGGGAATGTGGGGTAAGCAAATATAGTGAATTGGAAGCGGGCGTGGGGGTGGATAATTCCACCCCTATGCCACCTCCCCCCATTTCCCCAATATGGGGAAATGGGGTAAACACACTTCCAAAAGTGGGGGACAGGGGGACCTGGAGTTAAAGTAAAAATATTGGAGGTGAGTGTGGAGGGGGAGGCATTCCCCTCTGGACTCACTACCCCCATTTTCCCATCTTGGGGAAATTGGGTACTCAATAAGTCCCCAAATAAATTATGTTGGGATCTAAAGAAAAATAAGACTCCCCAAAAGTCTTTCCCTGAAATCTCCACAGTTGGGAGGGGGTGGGGACTTCCTCCCCAACATATCTCAGCAATTGTAACTCCAAGCGGGGATTCAAACCGGAAAACCGTATCCAAAAATCCCGCAGTTGGAAGCAAATATACTTCTACCCCTAACGGTAGAGAGACTGTGGGGCCCTCTGCGGGGACAGAGAACACTTCATCTCTCATGGAGGAATCACAGGATCCAACAATGAGTGATAATGGAGTGTTCAATGTCACCGAGCAAGACTCCATAGTCTCATTACATACATCATGTAGCTCTGTTACAACCTGAATTGTAAAATTATTACAAAACTGGTTAGGATGCAAAAATATTATTACATTTAGGTTGTCAACCTGAATTGTAATAAAACCCGAAAATGTAATAAACGGTTAAAACTCAAGAAAATGTGGTGAGAAAAGTCTCGTTTACATAGTAACATGGTGTTTTAAAAAAACGAATTTGGACTCGACATCAGAATTTTTATAAAACTTACATGAAAGCGAATTAAAACTAAAAGAAAATACATTTCAGATTTGAAGAGCAGAAATGGTATCATAAAGTTGATAACAACCTGCATTCTTTAAAGTACTTGACATACAATACATTCTATGCTTTAAAATACGCATATTATATTCCTACAATACCATGAAGAAATTGAGTTCTAAGGTCACATTAATATTAATTTAATGATAATATGAATAAACAAAGGAAGGATGACGTTCATTTAAATGTAACAATCTTAATACAATTCCAGAAGAATTGTCCATTTAGTATCTTAAATAAAACATCTGGAGCGTAATGACATCGTGAAATGTAACAAACTGTCTGATTGGTAGCATTTTCATTTTCTATTCTGTACAACCACCAAATAATATATTTTTTGAAGATCATATTTACTAACGATATAATAGCAATAAAGAAAGTTTGCTTGTTTGGTGCATAGATAGTTATTACAAAAGCGGTTGAATGCCAAAAAATTATTACAATTGAGTTGACAACCTGAAATGAAATAAAACTCAAAATGTAATAAACTCTGAAAGTTGTCTTTTTCTAAATTAATTCTTTAACAACAACAACAAAAAAGAAAGAACCGATGAATTAACCAACTACTTATAGAAAAATAACGTTAAACATCAGTTATAAGAAATGTTGAATTTTTTATATAAATGAAAATGTAGAATTAACAGTAAAAGTCAAGTGTAACAATTTTATTACAAAGCCGATTGAACTGCTAAAAAGTTATTACAATTCAGAAGACAACCTGAAATGTAATAAAAACTCAAAATGTAATAAACTTTTTACTAGTTTTCTATTTTTAAAATAATAATTTAATAACAACAACGGAAACGAAAGAACCGATGTGCAAAACATCTACTAATAAAAAAATAACGTTAAATACCAATTGTAAGTAATGTTGATTGTTTGATATAAATGAAAATGTTGGAGTAACTGTTAAAAAGTTAAGTGTAACAATTTTATTACAAAACCGGTTGAACTGCCAAAAAGTTATTACATTTCAGTAGACAACCTGAAATGTTATAAAAACGTAAAATGTAATAAACATTTTACTAGTATTCTATTTCTAAAATAATTCTTTAAAAACAACAGCAACAACAACGGAAACGAAAGAACCGATTTACACACCATTTACATATATAAAATTAACGTTAAATACCAGTTTAAAGTAATGTTGATTGTTTGATATAAAGG